AATATTATAAGAAAATTAAAAAAGTTTTACGATGAACTGAGAAATTTAGAGAAAAATAAAACCAGGACCAGCGACTTATACAAGAAAAGAGAACAAAATTTTGTAGACCAAATCGAAGAATTGTTTGATATAGCTCATGCTAATGCAATTAGTCTAATGAAGATCCAGGAAGATATTGATTTTTTGCGACTTCGACGAACTAAGGGACGTCCCGGATGTATGATGGGAGTAGATATGAATTTAACCCAAGCAGAAAAAAAATGCAAATAAGACAAGAACAGAAAAATAAAATACTTATACCTCACTCAGATACAGAAACTTTATTAGAAGGTAATTTTTAAAAATAATGAATGTTTAATAAACATTGTTTATTATATTTTTAATAATTATATATGATTTAATTTAGAAAAATATTCATGTACTTCATCGGATTCATGTGATATGGAAATCGTAAGTGAAGAAGAGAGACAATTTTCACCAGTAGCAGGTCCGTCAAAAAATAAAAGAGGTAGAAAAGAACTTTTAACTTCTAGATTATCTGCCATTCTTGATAGGTGTAAAATAAGTGTTAGGGATGCTGTTCATTTGTTAACTGCATGTTTGGATGCCTTATCATTAGATCCCAGCATATATGTTTTAAACCGATCGTCAATTAAAAGGTCCCGTGAACATTATAGACAAAAAATTGCAGAAAATATTAGTTCTAAATTTCATGAACAAAATTTGAATTTTGTTGTGATCCATTGGGATTCAAAAATACTTCTAAACCTTACAGGGAAAAAANAGGAAAAAAAAAGTCGATCGCCTCCCTATTATTGCAACCGCCTTAAATTTTGAACAGCTTCTTGGAGTCCCTTAAATACCCTCTAGGAAAGGTTTAGAAGTATCATCAGCTGTCTATGACGCTTTAGTCAAATGGTCACTATTGGAAAAAGTACAGGCTTTCACATTTGATACTACGGCCTCTAATACGGGAAGGTTGAATGGGGCGTGTTTTTTGTTAGAGCAACGTCTTGGAAGAGAAATTTTATTCTTAGCATGCCGACACCATATTTATGAACTTGTTTTACAAGGCGTATTTTCAGATACCAAATTATGTCCTTCAACCGGACCAGAAATATTATTATTCAAGAGGTTTCAACAAGAATGGGAAACAATTGATAAAACAAAATTCTCTACATCAATTTCTGATACTTATGTTCATAATATTTTAAAAGATGAAGCCGATGAAATTATTTTATATGCAAAAAGTAAAATTACTGAATATCTCCCCCGAGATGATTATCAAGAGTTTTTAGAACTTGTTATTATATTTTTGGGCGGTGTTCCTCAAAGGGGAAATGCTTTTCGAAAACCGGGTCCTTATCATTTAGCCAGATGGATGGCTAAAGCAATATATTGTTTAAAAATATTTTTGTTTAAAAATCAATTTAAACTAGACAGCAGAGAAGAAACATCATTAAAGGATATTTGTTGTTTTATTGTAAAATGTTACGTTCAAGCTTGGTTTTCATCTCCAAAAGCTATAGAAGCTCCTTTTAATGACATATTATTTCTTAGAAAATTAGAATCTTATAAATTACAAAATAAAAAAATCGCAGACGTGGCATTAAAAAAAATAACTAATCATTTGTGGTATTTAAATCCAGAATGTATTACTTTTTCCTTATTTGACAATCGTATAGACTATAATACAAAACGCAAAATGGCTGAAAAAATTCTAAGTTATAATGATGATGATGATGAAGAAACTAATCTGAATAAAAAGTTAACTCTTACACCAGACGATGTCCCCAATTTTCTTCAAAAAGACCTACCAACTGATTTAATAACTTCCAAATCAATTGAAATGTTTAAGCGGTTTAAAATTCAAACAAATTTTTTAAGCATTGATCCAGCTTATTGGAATTATCAGGAAGACTTCAAAACAGGTAGAGAAATAATCAAATCATTGAAAATAGTTAACGACACAGCTGAGAGAGGAGTCAAGCTAATGGAAGAATATAATGATAAATTTACTAAAGACGAAGAACAAAAACAATTTTTATTGCAGGTAAATTTAACAATTTTTATTTTTAACTTAACTTAATTATATCGTTTAAATTTTTAGACCGTCCAAGACTATCAAAAAAAATATCCAAAATGTGATAGAGAAACATTAAAAAAAATATATTAAAAGACAAATACTAGTTCCATGTAGATAAATGTGCTATGAATTTTGTAATAATTATGTGTTGATAGAATGGATTATACATTTTTTTTTTATTTAATCTTAGTTAATATTCATGAAATTATTATATAGTTATTTTATACAATTTTTTACTTAGCTTTTTTTTTTAATATTAATTTTATAAAAAAAGATTACATGAAAATTTAATGAAATTTCAACCACTCAGTAAAAATATTAAAATATTTAAAAAAATATATTTATGTTAAATTTTGAAAAATTTTTATGTTAAGTTATTTTTCTCAAAATATAATGGATTTATGAAAAATATTGTTATTTTCTTTTTTGTAGGCAATAATAAGTTCTATAATTAATATTCTATTCATTTTAGCGATAAGTGTAATAGTTGTCGAGTTAAACACAAAAAAAGCAAAAACAACCATCAAGTGCCATATTTCAACCCTAATGCGGCACCAGAAGGGGTTGAATAAAAACTTCCAAATTTTACCTACATTACATTTTAATAGTATTTAACCAATCTAGAGGGTACTGTCTTAAAAAAATTGAGTTTGAAAAATAAGGACCACCCTAATNAGGTACTGTTTAAAAAAAATTGAGTTTGAAAAATAAGGACCACCCTAACACCCCAGTATTCAGTATTCACCTTTTTGTAAGAGTACTAATTTAAGTAAAAAAGTCTTAAATACTTGTTTTTATGGTGTAAAATGGCCTACTTTTATTTTTAGCTTCAACTATAGCTTCTAAATTGCTATTTAACTTTTAAAGCTTCTTAGAAATGTAATGCACATTTCTATGTGATTTTAACCACTGCTGTTGGAATCGCTAATTTTATGTTTTTAAACTATCGCTACCGTTACATGTAAAAAGAAAATTCACTATATTCATCACCACTTTTGAGTAGATACACAATTTTGTATGATCTCTTAAAAATATGTCAATTTTTATTGTGTTACAATTAGTAAAAAAAAATTTCCCCTTGATAAATATTCATATTGCATTAGAGTAGTGTAACCGACTATGGTTTAAATAATTAATAATCATGAAACACTAATAGAGATCACTTGTAACAGATATTTAAAAATAAAAGATGATATGAGGGTATAATGTACCGAAAAGTATACAAAAAAAAAAATAATTTATATAAAATATAAATAAGAATAATAATGAATTGCCTCCCCAGTTTTTGCAACGGTACAATACAACGTACAAGTGATTCGAGATACATAACCGGTGCCAATGGTTATACTAGAGGGATACTATTAAATAAACTTAAGTGTACATGAAACCTATTATAGCTTAATTTATCGTATATTTATCAAATTATTTCTTTAACTTTTAATAACGTCTTAATCATCGTAATATTATCTTTATATTGACGCTTTGATTATTTTTACAAATTATATTTGTATCCATAAATTATAAATAATTAAATGTATTAGTATTGAGTAGCAAAGTATTTTCACTGATGAAAAACTATAAACATTTTATTGATTTTAATTTAAAGTATTATTTCTAAAAAATGTATTTGCTTAAGATGCAACTACAAAAAAATAGTACAGTACAGTAGCATCGTTCTTACAAGTAGTTCTTTTAATGACTATAAATTTATTTTGTAAATGTTCAAAAAATTTTTCTTTTAATAGATATAATCTAATAAAAATTAATCTATGTTGGTTTCCACTGAGTCATGGTCCGACTATACTGAGTTTTTTTTTTTAGGTACATTAAACAAATAAAACTTGATTTGAATTTTTGAGCTCATATTCTTTTTAATTTTCTTTTTATAAAATTTTAAGGATGATCAATCTACGTCGCTTTATATTGTCTTGTTATTGATTAAGCCCATTATCTCAAATATGTTATTAAGCTCATATTTCTGATTTATTTCAAAACATAATTTATGTTACATTATGTTTCGACGTAGATATTAAGTGCTTCTTTTGCTTAAAGCAACTGGTTATTATTAAAAAAATGAAAACTACGTTTACCAGTTAGACACCACCTGTAATTACTAATCCAATATACGAAATGCCTTACTGATGACTACAGTAATCTTATTATTATATGAAAAAATGCTGTATATTATATTATTTGTTGTTACATTTAAAAGTTTTTGACAAGCATCATGTATTTTTTTTTAAATTAAGTTTTAAACTTATAAGTCATAATTCTAATAATTATTTATACTTTTTACAGATACATTTTGTTATAAAAATTCTTTTAATATATTTAATAATGTTATAATAACAATATAATTTTCAATTTTTTAAATAAGAATGACGTACATTACATGTATAATATTTTAAGTAATTTATTTTTATAATATTTAAAAATAAAATTTTATATAATTACGTGATTACAGATATCTTTCCAATTCAAGCATAAATTACATTTTAGTGGATATCTTATATATATGTTGCAGTATGTGCAAAGTAAATAGCAGTTTTACTATATGTATTTTTACCATAATGTGCTGAAGTCTATAAATTAATTCAGATAAATTTACATTAGAAATTACACATAATCGGTGAAATGCCAACGATGCTATCAATAACAAGTTATTACATAAAAAACTCCTACCATTGATCATAAATCCTTGTATTCATTAGCCACTCTTTTAACATTATAATAACTGTCTTATCATTTCTAAATTTTGTGTATTGTTATAGTACATTGAAATATTGCAATTACTTTTTTTACCTAATATTTTGATAAACATAATCCCTCCAAACAAAAGTTATTGAACGATGAAGATTTATTTACCTATCACGATGGGGACCGGCGGCTGTGGAAAGTAAATGTTAGGCGTGTTTTTTACCCATCCTAACGATGAGTGGTGGAAGACCTGGTTGGTGCATAATAGATGTAAACACTGATGCACGTGTGATTATGGCTCAAACAGTGTGCATGCGAGTACGTTGAATCATCGATATTCTAGACATACAGTTTTGAGGTAATTTCTTATCATTTTAACTTTATAGTGTATCATAAATATAGTCCTGTATGAAGTAATCATTTTAATTTTAGTTTTATATTAATGAACGGGCTATATAGAAGCTATTATATAGTTATTATTGTACAGTATTTTATAGTTTTTACTACAATACATTTTTAGTATTTTATTAATAATATCAACATTTCTCTCATAAAATATTTTATGGAAACATTTTGTTATTAAACAAACTAATAGCATGTTTGTATGGGTTTTATGTTCTCTGTTGATTTACAATTTACTAGTGTCTACTGTGACTCATTCCAGCCTCCTAACAAAGTACACTATAAAAAATGTTTTTATTTGATAAATCGTTAAAATGAAGATTTCAAATTAACGATTTAACCATTAGATATTTAAATTATTTGAAATAGTTTAATTATAAAAAAAACTATTAGGTTGAACAATTTATTGTTATATTCCCTAATATAATATTTCTTGAATTTTAAGACACGTGGTCAGATTGGAATATTTTATAAAAAGACCAATCTTCTCTGTCAAAGTTAATTTTAGATACTTGAGTTTTTATATCTTTCGCATTAAATACTTGAAGATGTAATAAACATTACATAATATATTTTATTTATATAAATTATATATTATTCTTATTAAATAATTAATCGTATGTGATTAATTAGGCGTTGATTAATATTGTGATAGCTTTAATTTTTTCATTAAAATTATGTTTTAATAAAATAAAATTAAAATTATGATACAAGTTTTGAAGATATTTTTTTTACTTTTATTATTTTTACGATTATTATTTACTATATTGAGACATTTTGTAGAGTCTCTAGTTTGTGAAACTTTGACATAGAATATAGTCGCGTAGAAATATTTTTCATTTTAAAGAGGGTAAACCTCCCTAATTTCCCAAAAATTTATTTTGTTACCTCGGTAACAAAATATTACTAAATTTTAAAGTCAATTAATAAAAATTTGTATTGGATGATGGTATGTTCTGAATAATTTAACAAAATTTATATGAATGGAACCACGTGGTACATGCGGACTTGAAATTTTATTAGCGGGGTAGTGAAGGGATGAATCACCCTACTACTTTATATTCTAAAAGCTATGTGGATCCCTTCATACAAAAATTCTTAATACGCTACTGGTTTACATTATCTATCCTCCGTAAGGATTTCTCCCTAATATGCACGTGCTTGCTACCAGCAAGTGTCAAGGTTATTTTGAAAAATAAAACGAAAAAAGAAAAAATATTGATATTTAAATTATCCTACGTATAATATTGGACATGTGTTTATGATGTGTGGTGTGATGCAACGTTTATATTAAAATAACTTGTTATGGCTTTAAGTAGTAAACCAGTTGAGTGTAGAGGTGTTTCCAAGATTTTACTCTGTAGAGATTTGTCCCTGTCATCCCCTGGTTAGGTATAAAATTCTTAAATGATTGCATTTGGCCAATGAATATAAAAACATATTAATAACACTTGATTTTAGTTAAGTCCATTGTTTTTCGATTCGAATGCATTATTCCTTAATTGCAAGTTATTTTATTTATTAAAAGTACAAATATTTTTTAATGATTGTTACACAACTATAAAGATATTTTTATATTGTATCTATTTTTGTACATATAAATCCCAGTACAAGCATATAAAGTCTAATTTTTTTTTTAATTTAAAATATTGAAAATTTTTATGACCATTAGAAGTACTAAGATATCTTATGTCAGTATGTATGGTCAGAAAACATAGTGAGTAGGTACATTCATTTGTCAAAAAAAAAAAAAAAAAAAATAGAAGCTTAATCGTAACCAATATAAAATTGAATACCATTATAGTTTTTAAAAATATATTCATAAATTCAAGACCAAAGTAATTTATTATATTTATTGTTAACCATTACGATATTTTTGCAATGGAAAATACTTTAAGTCTAATGTTTGACGATTAACTATATATACTTTTTAAAGTAAATCACAGTAGTTAAGATTCTCATTAGTATTGAAAAAATGTTCGTTAAAATAGACAATCTTTCGATGTAGTATACCTGATAATTACAATTATGCGTATACATATATATATGATTGAGTACGTTGGTAAGATTTAAAGATGTGAGGGGACTCTAGATATATTAATAATTGAACAAATAAGAGCGTCAAATTTTTTTTTTTATTTCGCTTGTAAATTAGTTACTTTTTTTATAAAATTACTATCACAATTTAATCATAATAATTGAAACATTATAAACACATAATGACTATGACTTGATATAATTTTAAGTCCAATTATATTATTTAGCTTAAAAATTTAATTTTAATAACTTCTCATACTTATTGTGAGCTTTATGTGATTATTCAATTTAAATAACTGTCTTATTGAATTTCCCCTCTTATTCTTCACGTGTATCTTTACGTCTAATAAACTACTTACGTTTCCTTGCAATTCTTTGCGTGAAAGACTCCACAGCATTCTTTTCGGGCGATGAGTCTAGACAACAATATCTTAATGTTATTTTAGTCGTACCTACTTAAGATTTCATAATAGTTTCGTACATTTACCTAGAAAACAATACTGTGGTTTTTCTAAATTAGGCTAAATCCTAATCTGCGATACGCTTTGCAAAACTTACCAAATTAAATAAAAAACAGTTAGAGATGATAATATTTAAAACAAAACCTTATTCAACATAGTTGCAAATAGTAAAGAACATTCGTGAAATAAAATAAAATTTTTCTTTTCCTTGAAAAATAATTTAATAATTGTAAATAGTACTGATATTAATTTTTTGGGATGCTTTAGTAATTGAAACTATCTATTTATTTTAATAAATTTTATTTATTGGTATTGAGAAAATATTATATATGCATAGATAAACTATTTAGTTCAACCTAACCTTATTGTAAAGAGCTTTTTAGCATAAGCGTAAACATATATTCTTTGAGGAAGGGAACTAAATCTTATTTTATTTCCACCCATAAAAATACATTTGTATGATTTTTAAACAAATTTTGGAAGGAACTTCCGTAATTCTGGGGAATCTAAGTACCTATCCTCCCATCTTACGCCTATGTTTTTAGATTAAAAAAAAAAAACGTTTTTTAATTATTAAGAAACAACTAGTTTTAATACTATTTTAATTTTCTATTTTACTTTCAATACATTTTTAGATGTTTGTCTAACTTTTAATATTATCCTATTTTACAGCTAAAAGTAACGGCTCTTAGTTGTTATTATCGTATAATAAACATAAACACTTTCTCATTGGTAATATTTATTTTTTTTACTAATGAGAGCATCGAGTTTGACGAAATCATACAACCCACTCCTCGTGTAGACCTATAAATATGACCTCTTCTAACACAACATGCTAGACATGTTATATCACCATTAGGGTATACCTTTTATATTGTAATTCAATTCAGCCTTGTAGCGATTTCTTTTTATAGTTGAAACTGGATACCTTATGGCAATAGTCGTTATGTTTTTATATTAGTAAAAAAGTTAGATTTTATGAAAACAGTTTTATTAATTTAATTAAAAGTACAAAGTACACACATAAATCATACCAGTATATTTTTATAAATAAATTAAAGTGTGTTTACAATGATTGAATTAACAATATATCATTAAATCGTAATTACTTTAAATGACCATTAAGTCATTCTGTTACATTTTCTGCATAAAAAACTGATCATAAATGTTTAACGAAAGATAATACGCACAATAGTTCTTCAATTTAAGTGAATTTTAGCTTGATTAAATGGGATGTAACTTTTTTTGTCTACTAGTGTGATGGTTAATTTACAAAAATTTAATTTCATTGCATAATTTTTTGACATCCGTTTCATATTCTCTAAGTAGACTTTCTTCAAAAGTTATCTATGGCGCGACATTGTTAAATTCAGAAGTCTATAGTTTTTAATGTCATTCTTCATAAGAATGCACTTTAAGGAAATATACATCATAACGTCAATGTCACACGTGCGTTTCGACTGTTTTAAGATTATTGAAGATAATTACGGTTAATCGTCTTAGGATGATTTAGTGATTTGGTGATAAACGTGAAAGTCAGTATTGCCTGTTTGGTAATCATTTTTGTTTACTGGTTGTTAAAAAAACAAATACATATAAATGTTGCTCTTAATTATTACAGCGATACTTTATAGAAAAATTTAAATGGATTTAATTAAAAAATAAAGTATATTAATCAAAATTAATTAAATGCTTGTATAAATAGATATCTATTTAACAAATATTACCGTCGATAAATACTGCATGTCAGCAAAATATTAACAAGTTTGTAGAGTTGAATTGGTATAACAAAAATCTTGAGTTAACTGTGCTTTTTTATTTCTGTAATGAGAAATTTTTTACTTGTTTTTGTTCTCCTAAAAGATTACTGAAATCTACTCATTAACTTTTGGAAATTAGTCGTATGCAATATTGTTATTAAGTAATTTTAGAAATAAATAATTAGCGTAAACACAAAAAAAAAATATCAACGAAACATTTTAAAAAGCTTGTCCGTAAATACTTAGTACACAAAATAAGTATTATTATATTTCGCGTTAAGTTGGCATTCCTGTCGTTTTTGTATGCTCTGTTTCACGCGGGAGTAGACTTATGAACATTCCGTGGAAATGGAGAAATGTTTCAGTTTTTGCTTAATCTTGGAGTAATTAATACTTTACCCGTAATTATAATGCAGAAATTATCATGCTTACAATTTGAACAAAACAATACGTAACAATGCGGGTGAACAAGAGCGTTAGTAGAAATTTTTCATGAGGGGGAGCAAATATTTTTTTAAATATTTAGTTTCACTATCCGCTCAACAGACCCAGCATAAAGGGAGGTGATTAAGATTTTCAGGCAGGGAACTGTGCTTTTTTAGAGGCCTCATTAAAGGCGTAACAAAAAGTAGCTTAGTCTCCTCAGTTAAAGTATTAGCTACCCAAAAAATTAATTAATGATATATGTTGTTTTTAAACGTACAACGGTTTTAATGAAGAGTGAAAATACAAATAGCATACACAAAAATATTCTTATAATAAGTTTCTATGCGCCTTACAGAAAAAAATGTATAAATTACACATTTTTTGATAGTTTTATGTAGTATTTATAAAATCTATAAATATAGTAAACAAAAAATTAGCTTAAATGACATTCATTTATAAAAAACAACGCTTCTACTCCTGGTATTAATAATATAATTTAATAAAAATAAACTCATTTCTTTTACTTAAAAAAAAATTATTTTGCAAAATTTTATAATACACAACGATTATGAAAATTGATCAAATAAAAAATCAAGGGGGGCATTTGTCCCCTTTTCCTTCTGCGGACGTTCATGATGTAAGAATAAGTTAATGAGTACCTCTTAAGATTTAAAACTCTCGTTTGAGTGTATTATAGACTAATGAATATAACTATAATATTTCTTTTCTAAATCAAGGATAAATAATAACGACTGTAATAACGAAAAAGAACTTGGTCACTTTCCTTCTTAAGTAATTCTTAATATTTGTAATGATTTATAAGTATTTTGAAGTAAATATATTTACGGCACTGGTTATTATAAAAATTGACAGTGCGTGTAAAACCTTACACTTGCAGTAAGGTCAAAAATGTTTATAAATATTCTCTTTTATGATTGTCTGTCAAGTATTTAGAGGGGTTTGGTAAAAACCTTCAAATTTTGAAGTAAGAGTGATAAGTGATTATTGCCATAATAAATTATTACTATTTTAAGGTTAGCCGTTCAGCGTTAATGTGTTAAATCTATAACTTTTTTTTGCAATTCAAAAAAATATAATTATTTATTCTTTTAAAAAAATTTATAGAAACAGAAAATACAATAGCTAATTATTTATTTAAATTTTTTTAAGTGAGTTAACATTATTTTTCAAATCGAGAAATATAAAATTTGAGAAATCGAGTGGCTAGCGTAAAAAAAGAATTACCATATATATCAAGGTTTCAATGACTGCATATTTATCAGACAGTCCAGTGAATTGATTTGAGAATCTATTTGTAATTTATTGATACAACTTTTTTATAAACTGTAATAACTTCAATTAGTACATAACTTTTCAGTAGACGTGTAAATTCAAAACAAATACCGATTACTAAGATAACTCATTTCAACTAATAGCCTCATAAGTAGAAGCCAAAAAACTCATACTAAAATAAAAATCGACAAAAAAAATAAAAATATCTATATTTAAATTATTTTTAAAATTTTTATTTGTGAAAAAAAATAATCCATAACACAAGATTAGTGGTGGGCTTCGATCCACCCTAAAATATATGAGCTTATAAATAAATTTAATTTTGTGTTAAGTGCTAATCTATTGACTCCTTATAGCAATAAATTTTAACAAATTTTAAAACAATTTTTTAGTTATTATAAAAATGAATTAAATTTTTTTTTAATGTTAGTTTGAAAAATAAAATAAATTTTATAAATTCCTTAAGTTAAGTTAATTTTTTGTTATAGAATTTAAAAAAAATGACGAAGGATGGTGTGTTGGAATGGTATAGCGGTCGATCGGTGTTTATCACTGGAGGCACTGGTTATATGGGCAAAGTACTCATTGAAAAATTACTCAGGTGTTGTCCAGGAATAAAACATATTTATTTATTGTGTCGCCCTAAAAGAGGTTTGACTCCAGTTGCGAGAATAGAATCTATAAGGAAATTACCCGTAAGTAGTATGCTAAAACAATATTTTTTATGTAGGATTTCTTCGCACTATATAACTATTTTCTTTCAGGTATTTGATCGTTTACGAACTGAATGTCCGGAAAATTTGAAGAAAATGTCCGCTATAGAAGGTGATCTAGGTTTGGCAGGGCTAGGATTGTCTCCTGAAGACAAAAAACGTTTGATTGATGAAGTATCAATTGTTTTTAACGGAGCTGCTTCTCTGAAATTGGAAGCTGGTATAAAAGACGCTATTAGGCAAAATACTACTGGAACAAAATACGTATTGGATTTGTCTACTGAAATAAAAAATTTGGCTGTAAGAAAACTTAAATAAAAATTAATATGAACTGGATAAAATAATGTTATTATTAATTTTCATAACTAGACAAAATGATTTGTTGAAAACATTTCAACAGAGTACATTAATGCTATATTTTTATAATGTAATATTGCAAAAATATGTTATTGTTTATGATTATTGTATCATTTCATTAAATTATTTAAAAATTTGTGCATTTATAAAAAAGATCTTAAGTATATTAAAAATCATATTCGATTAATTTGAATTACCCATAAGTTGCTTTCATGTTTTTAAAACCAAAATTTCTTTTGATAAAAATGTCGCTAATGCCCTGCAAACACTGTAGTATACTCTATAAAAAAACTTTTCATCATAAAATTCAAAACTGATTTTTTCTTTAATGAATATTACAGGCTTTTATTCATTTTTCTACTGCGTTTTGTCACTGTGAGTACGAAGAACTAGACGAAACTGTTTATCCTGCTCCAGCTAATCCATATGATGTTATGAGAGCCGTCGAGTGGATGGATGATCAAACATTGGAACTTATTACTCCTAGGTAAACTACAAATTTTCTTAGAAAATAGTTATGTAGGGTGTTTAGTAAGCGAGGAAACGGATTTTTATTGTTTATAACAATTGACCTGTTTTCTCACTTTTTGAACACTGTATATGTTAAAAAACTTACCATAAGAACATCTTGCAAATATTCTATTCAAGATTGAATAAAAAAATTGTTTTTATGAAATCTGAAAGCAATTAAATTTGCTAAGAATATTTAAAATTAAATTTTGATTGATTTAATTCAATTATTTTTAGCTACTAGAGTAAAAAATTAGTTTTTAATATTTTACCTCTATTAAACATCATACGTTCGAGTAGGCCTAAAAAATTGAACTATTTACATAAGTTTTAAATTTACTTGTAAATTAGGACATATTTTTACTGTAAACTTTATATTAGTGTAGATTATTAATTCTGTGCTGATAGTAAGTTTATTCAACAAATAACAAAGAATAATTATTATTCATTAACATAAAGTAGTCTTAAATGAATAATTTATTTAAAATTAATAATGAATAGTTTAATATATTTGTAATGTGTATTATTAAATATTTGGTTGAATAGTGTTGGCGTGACATTGGTACAAATTATTTATGCAATAAGAATTCTATTTACATAGTTAGGTGTTCAGTAAGTTAGAACAAACGACACATTTAATAGAAGTACATAATTATGCCCAAACATAAATATTATATTTCCAAAGATTTGTTTTTACCATGACCCCAAATATACGACGGCATTTTTAATCAATAGGTACAATTTTAACTTGTAATGATTTCATGCGGTTCTTCTTCCAACATGCTCTCAAGGATTTTTATCGATTAAGAAAACAATAGTTATTATATTCGTTATATAGGTAGAGCCATTATAATTATATTAATCCCTGACTAGAATTTAAAGGAAAAGTGAATAAGTTCATAATTTTTAAAAGGTATATCAAAAGATTTTCTTTAACCGTGTATTCAAATTAAAAAAATATATATTTATACTTCTATAGTATGAATATTCAAATTGAAGTAAAGAGCTTAAACAAGTACAAACAATCAAAAGATTAAAAATTAATGATGCAATTTTAAATCAATAATGAATTCAAATCTAAATAATTTATTTTTAGTTTTTGAGAGATGTATTTTATGTCAGATCTCTAGTATTTCGCTATTATGTTACACTTATTTTTCTTATAGTATATTACTATTCATCCACGTTAATTTGGAAAAGTTTAGAAAACGAAAAAAAAAACTTAAATCTAATATATCCTCAAGGATATTAAAATGCTACTATTTTTTTTTAAAGGAGGTGAGATAAACTATTTTAATAACTACGAAAAGTTACAATTACCAAAAATAACGTAACACATTCATTATGCTTTTTACTCATTAATAAATAAATATTATCACCATCAAAAATACAATGGATCTGTATTTTTTTTCATTATAATATGTGTTAAGTTAAGATGAAGGTTATATAATTAAAATATAAAACATCTAAACACAAATATTTTAAATAATTAAATGTAAATTTCTTTACATTTAATGTTTCTACAGAGTGATTGATTTATTGTTAACCAATAAATTTCTCTTAAAATAATAATAATTTTGAAAAAATAAAATGATTAATTTCCTTTGATATGCATAAGAAGTATTTATGAATTTAAAAGTCGATATATAAATAATTACTTAAATATAGATAATATTACTTAAATAAGTAAAAAAAAAAAATCTAAATTATAATTATTCTAATAGTTAATAATATTCAAATCAATTATCCTGTATAAATCGATTTTTTTTAATTACTTACTTTTTAACATGAATATAAAAAATACTTTAGTATAAAATGTTTGATTTTAAAAGAAAAAATACGATTGCCTATCAAACAGGATAATTTTAGTAAAATATAACATTACTTTTTTGTAATTTTATTAAAATAACCATATGATAAATAATTGTTATGATGTATGACCTTGAAAGCAAAAGTGTTCTAGTTCTATAATACATAAATATTAAATGAGTTTCGTAATAAATTGTTGAAGTATTTGCTCAAGGAGTATGTTTAAAAGTTACCGTTACTTTAAATGTCAAAATTATATTATAATTATACATTTTGAATAATATTAATATCTACAATATTCATAATAATAACAAAATTTAATTTATGTAAAGCTTAGCAATATTCTACATTTTCGTAAAACTTTAATACAATTTTATAACAAAATAGTTTGTTATAAAAAGATGATTCTCAAATTAAAACATTTCAATTCTTCAAACAAAAGTGAAATTTAGTCAGGCAATGGATCTCGTTGCAGACAACTACGTTATTGGGCTGTAGGATATAACCAGAATTTAAGTATAATCATACTGACATACTTGTTCATTACACAATAATATCAGTAAATACTCTACTATAAAAAATTAAGTATAATAATTTAATAATATATATATTACATTTTTCAAGTCACTTTAATCAGTAAGGCAACCAAAATATAATCATAAGTTTATATTATACTCATAATAATATTTATTATTAAGCCAATAACACTATTGTAAAAGCTATAATGTACCAAAAAAAAATAGATTTATTATTAATATATTTTCTTGATTAATCAATTAATCGTTTTTATTAATTAATTATAATTAATCAAATCAAATTTTTTTTAAATTTTAGATTTTATTTCTACTATTTAAAAAAATGTTTTATGTAAAATTTTTAGTAGAAAAAATAGTACTAATTCATAAAAAAAATCGAAGCTAAGGATGCTTATTTTAAGTTATAGGGAATATGTATATCGTAGTTGCCTTAATCATACCAATATAAGTGAATTTTTAAGTTTAAAAAGTATATGTAATCCGTGACATTAATTTAATTTTTAGTCATTTGTTATTTTTCTAATTTGTTGTATGTATATTATGTTTTATTTAATTTTCTTTAACTGTATATATAATTTGTTAATGGAAAATATTTTCAGTAATAATATAATAATAAATAAAAATACTGGATTCGTTAAAATGTCAATAGATTATTCACGTAAGATTAGTCATGTATTTATGGGAAAGGGTTAGGACCACCCCATCGACATAAAAACATAGTATGAAGTGTATTTGTTATGAGGAGAAGAGTCGCGCTCTATGTTTTGAAAACGACCTACCCCCTTCAAACTTTTGAATACACCACTACTTAAATAAAAATAATACAAATAATATTGTTGAATAAAGTTTAAAAGAAAAATACTATTTATAATTATATTCGATCGTTCGTAATTGTTTTATTTTTTGTTAAGTATAGGCATGGGCGTAGTTTAAAATAATTGTCTGTGAGAGCTATGCTCCCATATTCTATTTACATTATAAATTTTAATAAAAAAAACTTGATGGAATACTTTATTGCTAAATTGCTTTATCTCCCTCCCTCTTCTCTCAAAAAATAAATTCAATTTATTTGAAGGGGCTACAAAAATTTGTATAAGGGCTGAAGCCCCCACAGCTTCCATGAAAACTACATTAATATATATAAGGTATAGAGTTTTAACATTTTTTAGCAATCAGCGAAAATATATTGGAAGTAGTATGAGAAAAAGAAAAGTATTTTAATATTAACTAAAATATTTATGATAAAAAAACGTTTTTCTTATTGTTCAATTTTGTTTAATTATATCTAGTAAAAAGATTTTATAATTTATCACCTGTAAACAACATTCTTATAAAAAAAAATGTAAATAATTTCTTTTCACAAAAACGAAGGAAATGTTCATTTAACAACAACTTTTTATGTGTAAAGTAATCGCCATGACCTACATATTGTATTAAACATTTTTAGCTCAATCCCGTTACTGTCTAGTCTAAAATTATTTCTATAAAATTCATCGAATTTACTTTAATGATAGTTGATAACTGGAGCTCTAACTACGTTTTAAAATTATATAACGTCGTAAAAGCCTAATATTAAATAAATAGAAGTTATGTATTTAAGAAAAAATAAAAGTTAGAGCAATTATATCCTTAAACAAAGATAAATTTTAGCAATCCCTTTTAAATAAAACTTATTCAATATTTAAAATTTTTTAAATTAAAAATAAATCTTAAAATTAAAATTTTTAAATATTTGTATAACAAAAAAAAAATTTTTTATTAGCGTTTCGTGTTAATAATGATAAAATTAGTACATTGTTTCTGAAATACGTATCTGAGATTTTTTAGTAATTTTTTGTGGCTTTTGAGTTAAATATTTTTTAGTTTTAAATTAATATTTTTGATATAGTTTTAATTTTATTTTAGTCTGATTATTTATTATTTAAACTAAATACGGTAATTCAATTTATCTTGATAAATTTATTATAAATTTATCTTGATTGACTTATTCCATTTTGTGTTGAAATAACATAACGTGATTTATAAAAATATTTTTATTTTTATCTGCTCTTAATAATGTAAATATTATACAGAACATGTATTTATTTATATTCTAGCGTGAGACTTAGGAACAACATATTTTACTACCTCTAAAATTTTAGCAGATTTTTGTTTACTTATTACGAACAAATAAATAAAACAGGTCCTTCTAGTTCTATATGTGTTCATCAAGTATGAGCCCCTTCCAAACAGTCCCGATTAAGATTTATTCGATAAAAACAATACATATCTAAAACAATAAAAAATTCTTCTTAACTTCTATGTGGTACACTAAAATATGCATTTATATTTTTATGCATTAAAATCAAAATATGCAAATTAAACATTTAAATTTCAACTACTTGTTACAAACTTACTTTCATACTCCCTAAATAAATTATTTCGAAAATATAATTGCTTAAAAATAATTTATTGTTACAAACTTAATATGTTTTTATTTTATAGATTACTTGGACCGCACCCTAATTGTTACACGTATTCTAAGAGACTAGCTGAAGCATTGGTGAAAGATTATTCCAATAAACTACCAATCTCTATAGTACGACCATCGATCGGTTTGTATATATTTCATACATATATTTAGTGTCGTGTAAAATAATTAAACAACGCTTTAGAGATAAAATCAAATTATTAAAATTGTAGGATCTAAATATTTTTAAAGATTCCTTTTTAGGGGCTATGATTTGAATTGGAGAAATAATATAACGCATATTAAATCAAAAAATATCAAGGAACGAGTGTTATTTAATTAAACTTTACTTTTGTAAAATAGTTAAATAATTTAACTTTTAATTATTATTATTTAATAATAATAATGACTCAACGTGGAGGAGGTTACCGCCCCGAGGGCAGTGGCCTTGCTGAGCAATGTATATTTACAATACCGTAATATAATTATTATATTATAGCCAATATAAAACTATTTTGGAATTATTCCAAAATGAAGTGATATGTAAAAAAACTCTATATATACTTGATTTTTTGTAATGAGATTAAAGTAATAATAATAATTATTATAATGATTATCACACTATGCCAACATAAATCAAACTTATTCTATTAAAGTGGACTGATTAAAGAGACTTTAGTATAATAATAATTTCGTTATTTCCGCTAAAATTTCATAAATTTGTAAACTTTTAGTAAACAGTAAACCCAATCTTTTTATGTTTATCGGAAACAATACAGTCAATTTTGGCGAATATGATATTTTTCTGGTACAATTACTTTCTGTCCTTGGCCTGTTTCTAACCTCAATTCTGTTTACATAGGTATGTAATCAGTATCTATATGTTATATATTAAGCTATGTGTTATAAACTAGGTAACATCTAATGGACCAACATGGGGCGGTGATTAAACTTGGAGCAGTTAAATATTTGACAGATTTCATAACTTAATTCTTTTAAACAAATATTTTGTATTTAATAACAATACTTGTAAACATTCTACTAGTTTTGTAAATTAATACTACTAAAATTACAATAGATATTAATCTGTTACAAGTTTAACCACCGTGAACGGTTGGCATGTTTAATGGTAAAAATACTTTCAACACTTTGTATAGAAATTTAAATCAATCCATTTTTCTTAATTTAATAATTCGTACACGTGAATTGAAATTTATCCTTTCAATAGTAAAAAGAAGTTCAATTTAAAAATGTCCTAAAATATTAATGATAAATACTTTTTGCTCACTTACCGCTATATAAAACACGTATCAAAAATGATTTCGACTAAGTCACAGTCATCACGCTAATACGCTGTTGTTGTAAAAAAATGTCTTACTATAGACCCGTTGAAAGGTGTATGCATAAGTTGTAATTTACGAACTTTAAAATATATGGTAACTGTTCCTTCATGTTTTGTTTAGTGTTTTATGCAAAACTGGTTGTTTTTTTTAAATATTAACTAATGTATTTTGTTATTGTAGTTACACCATCGTATTTGGAGCCGTTCCCTGGATGGGTGGACAGTCTTAATGGACCAATAGGTGTTATTGTTGGTGGTGCTAAAGGAGTTATTCGTTCTATGTTGTGTGGTGAAAATTTTGAAGCTGAAGTTGTTCCAGTTGACATAGCGATAAACGCTATAATAACGATAGCATGGTTAAGGGGAAAATCAGAGTAATTATCTAATTTTTAAAGCTTTACTTATATGGGAAAATATTTGGGTGTATATTGAAAATTATACAATATGTTATACACGATTAGATCAAATCTCTTAAAATTGTATAATTTAGGCATGGACGTAACTTAAAAAATTCTTCTGTGGAGACTATTGCTTTATATTCGATTTCATAAATTTGGGTAAAAACTTGATGGGAAGCTTCTCTACTACATTACTTTACTACCCTTCTCCTGTTCAAAAAAATTCAGTTAACTTGAGGGGGTTACGAATGTTTCTATTGAAGCACAGCCCTTTATGCTTTATGTTTATGCAAACAATAACATTGATTAAGTTAAATTGTTTTTTCGTGACCGTTTTATCGATTAAAGATGATATGCTCTGAGCATCGTCTTTAGAACTCGGCCACTACTTTTCTTTTAAATTTCATTTAGAATCTAAACGGTTTATTTTTTAATCGTAGTCATAAATCAGAAAAAGATTTACCGTGTTACAACATCTCGAAAGGCGATATAGTACATATGACATGGGGTGAAGTGATGGCCAGAGGAAAGAAATATGCATATGAATATCCTCTTGATGTTGGTCTTTGGTATCCTAATGGAGAAATCAGAACAAATAAATTGATGCATTTTTTCGTTGTATTTTGGCTTCAGTTAGTGCCAGCTATATTAATCGACGGTATTATGATTTTGGCAAGACAGAAAACATTGTAAGTTAAAAACTTTTGAGTGATTGAAACCAACCACCATATTTTTTATAATTTAAATGTAAACATATATGTATACATTTAAATTATAAGTCTATAGAGTTATTAATAATATAGACATGTAAAACTTTTGCAGCATGGTTCGAGTACAAAAACGTATTGCAGTAGGTATGGAAGTATTACAGTACTTCACCATGCGTAATTGGAAATTCAAGATCGATAACGTTAAAAATCTGATCCATCATCTGAATGATCGCGATAAGAAAATATTTTTCATACACAATATCGATGTTGAAATTGAAGGGTACCTCATAAAAGTATTGTTGGGAGCTCGCCAGTACTGTATGAAAGAGCCCTTGTCTAATTTGGATAGAGCACGATTCCACATGAAAATGTAAGCATTTAATCAGTGTAGTAAAAAGTTGGGGTTTTCGAGGGAAAAAATAACTGAATCTAGTTTAATATAAGTTGAGCCAGATAGAACGGTTGATAGTATATTATTAAATAATAAAATAATTTATACATTATGCTATGAAACTTCCTTAATTATATATCTGTATACGTAGTTTATGCTTATTTTTTAACAAAAAACATATTTTCGTTACACAATACAATTAATAATAATACAAATTTCTACTTCAAGTAATTGTTTCAATAGTCAAATGATTACTACCTCTTTTAAAATGTTTATGATCAATAAATAAACGAAACTAGCTTATATAAAACGCGATTTTAATTAAGGCGATTCTTCATATTCTGATAAAGATTTAAGATTTTGTTTAAGATAAACAAAAACTTTAATCTATTATTAGATGAATTTTATTTTTGAAATTTTATGATTTTATACTTTAAATTATTCACGATAAGTACATATTAACTTTTATTGTATTCGGCATATTTACGGAACTAAAAGAATATGAATTTTCCCCAAGATACCAAAAATATGATACATTATATTTATCTATTATGATATAAATAATGGACGTTAATATTTATTTATATTTATGTATGTAATATATCAGTTTCCCCCGCTTAGAAAAATATTTAAAACCTACCACTGTTATCAAAATATATCTATTTCTATTGAAATCAAATTTAAACATGTTTTAAATCATAAATTATATTTTTAGACTATATGTTTTGAATTTGATTGTCCAAGGATTATTCTACATGTTATTACTCTGGGCATCTTTTAAGCTATTCAATGTATTTAAATTTGTTTTGGATTCGTCTACTAGCTCTTTCACCAAAGTACCGTTTGCTGGATCATTAATACCTAATTAAATGCTTTTATCAAATTATGTTTATGCAGTGTAAATATTGTTAATAATGTGGAAAGTTAATTTTATACATTATATGTATTATAATAATATTTTATATTTTTATACATTTTGGAAAGGAATTATTTTATAACTAAAAGTACAATTGAATTTCATTGCAATTCAAGGATGGACTAGCACATTTAGGCTATAAAATGGTTTTCTTAAAAGCCCTAAAAAAATTGGCTTGCATTTTTTTGTATACTGTGACTAATATCTATGGATTATACTCTAAAATACTTATGAAGTTAACATCTCTTTTTCTTATCGTTTACTAAAAATGATCTTAAATGTACATTACATTTAATGCCATTATTATGGATTGATTTTTACCTCCAGTCTATCCATTTTTAACTTTTCTATTTGTATTACTTAAGTATATGTATTTTACATATTTTAAGCTATTAAACTTTTATGTTATTTTTAAATTCTTGTGTTATTATTTTATTGGTTAAAAATATTTAATGAATCAAACTTTTTTTAAAAAAGTTAAAAATTTATTTTAAAGTTAAAAAAGTTTAAATAAATTTGTTTAATATTTATATAATGTTGCATTGTTATTTGAAACGGTACTATACATTTCGGAAGGACCTTTCTTTTAGTGTAAATATTAAACATAAGTATTGAACATTAATATTTTTATAATATAGCTTTTCCATTTTCTAAATTGATAATTTTACTTAAAAAGTGATCGCAAATTACTTTTTTTACAATTTTGATCAGACAGTGGAAAATCATGACTATAATTTTAATGCGGAAAGTATAAAATTAGAATATCTAATTCTATTAAATATTCTGTATTTATTTATTACAGAACTAAAATTTGTATTAACTACGAAAGAACTAATATTTAAATATAATTTGAAACGATATAAAATTATCAAATTGATTCTTTAAAATAATATTATTTTAAAAATAAATAAATAATATATTGAAGTTTTATTTTTGAGTCTTTTAATCCGTTCAATTTTTATAATTTAAATCATAAACAATGAAAGTTTGATAATAATGATATTTAAAAACCATAATTTTAGTCTAACCAATAAATACATCGTAAGCGAAGGTATAATTATTAATAGGATGAAGTGGGGTAATTGTAAATTTATTTCCTCTCTCAGAATATTTAACACATTTTATTTTAGATTGAAAACTTATAGTCCTTATATGTGTTACTTTCTTATTAAATGTAAGTTAGAAATACATACTTGTGCATATATCTAAGAAAATGTATTCACAATTTACTCCTTTTCACCCTTTTAACAATTATCTGCAAGATAATTTTGAAATAATATATTTTTGAATTTGATTTTGAAAATACTTGATTTAAAAACGAACATGACACTATTTAAAATTCATTATGTTATCTAAGGCAATATCGCACAGTAATATTACTATCGAATTAGTAATAATGACAGCATTGGTACTTGCGATTCCCAAGGGATGTTGTGAGATATTTACATAAATAAACATTGATAAAAATTAAAATGTAGCTATTTTCAAACCATTCGCACCGAGTGTATCATCGAGAACTGTATACAAAGATCAAAGTGGTTAGAAAATGGTTCTGTTAGAGGTAAGTACCACAATCTAATTTACTAGATGAAAAAAAAAAAAAAAATTAAATATATTACGTTTATATATATATTAAGAATTTTAGACAATAAATTTATTTAAGGACAAAAAATACAATATATCACATTTCTATGATTAAACTAATAAAATTAAACATGTATAGTGTTACCAATATATATTAGAATATTAGCTGGTGATGATTTTAAATAATTTTGGAAACTTTATTAACTACAAACATTATTTTAATTTCTTGTATATTTCAAATTAATTCTAAAATTTAAGAATTTTAACAAATAGGAATATTCTACTAATTTGTTTAATACTTTTTGTAGAAATTTATTATTTAAGTAATTTATTCTCATTTATTGAATTTTACTAAAATAAGTTTGTATAGCCTTATAATGGAATGTTTAAAATAATCAACATTAAATTTAAAACATAAAAATCTTAGAAAACGGTTTTGGAATGCTTTAAAATGAATAATGGTCAAATTATTATTAAGCTAGATAAGAAAGGAATCTACTTAATAATATCTAACAATACAAAATATAATGTATTAAAAGCATCAAGAATATAAAAATTTCATATGCGAAGATAAATCCTAATTTTTTAAAAGCTTATTTATCCACGGACATAATATATTGGTAGTGAGGGTTGAACTTCTCACTGCTCTACATTCTAAAAGCTATCTGCATCTCCTCCCACATAAATTTTCTAATTACACCAATGCTATCTATTTAAGCTAAAACAGAATTTATCAATTTTATTTTACATAGGTACATTTATATAAATTTTTGTATCAATAATAATATATATATTAAACTATTTTTAATCAAGTCTGTAAACAATTGCAATAAACAGTATCATTGCATATACTATGATTTATTAACCATACCACCACCACTTTTTTCGTTAAATAATAATTTAAAAAAAGAAAATGCGTAGATAAAATTTAATTTATTTTTATAATCTATTGTAAATATAAAGTTAATTGAAAAAAAATTATTCCCAAGAATAAATTTAAGGGGTAATCTTGGAATTTTAAATATAATCCTCTTATTATTATTATTTTACTATTAAATGAAAAATGGTCTAAATAAAATATTAATTGTTTAATAACCAGTATTACTTTTTAAGATTTCATCATTTGAAGATTTACAAAAGATATGGACAGGTTACTATTTAGCAACAGTTTATTTTTACCATAACAGATAAGAAATCTACGTTCAGAACACCATAGTATATAACTAAAAATTATAGCAATTTAAAATGTAATAATTCAATACTAGTTATTAACCAGTCAAAATATAATTTAGACCATTATCCATTTAACAAAAATAAGTAATAAGTTCCAATTTAACTATTGAAAGTTATTCCTAAAATATACCCTTAGGAATAATTTTTTCTTACAATAAACTTTACATTTAGAATGGTTTATAAAATAAAATTTTAATCTATATATTTTTATATGATTTTATGAAAATCATTATTAAATAAAAAAATGAGGGTTGTATACTTAATAAATCCCCCTATAAAGCGATTTAAAATTTCATGAAATAAAAGAAATTGAAATATTTCAAGTAAAAATTAATTATTTATTAATTATTAATTATGGACACTAAAGTTTTTATTTTAAACTTAAATATTTGTATCAATTGGTTCTATAATCTTCTATTGATATATACAAAACATTAAATTTCTGAAATTTTTACTTAAAAATTTTTAATATTAAAATTATGTTATACATATTTTCATATTATTTGAAATCATAGAGCATATACACCTTAGGGGCGTAATAATTTTATACCTTTTTACTGAAAATAATTCTTAAGTAAAATTACATAGAATTTCTGTAACTAAATATTTAATTTAGAAAGCTTGTAAACTTCCTTAATATAATATATTATATTATATAACATGATATATTATGTTTCCTAGAATTCTACTTGACCTTCAGCTGACTTCAAGCCTATTTTGTAGTCAATCAAATTAAAATCATTTTAGTCCTAAAAAACTTAAATTATACTTATATTCCAGTTACGAAGTAATAAAAAACTTCTTCATTAAAATATCTCGTTAGTAACAAAGATCACAAAGATAGACATTAATGATCTTACAATTGCCCATTAAAATAACAAATATAGAGGAGAGCGAGGGAAAACAATCTTCTTCTGAAAAAATAGTAGTTATGTGTACAAACTTTTTTTGAAAGTATAAAAAATATATTAACCAAAAAATGACGAAATTTTACAAAATAATTTAAATGAACACATATGTTTGTTTTAAATTACACATACATTTTTTCCAAGAATATTATAATATTGACGTTTTAACTAGAACATAAATAAATATATATGTATAAATTTATTTTTTGCTATAGCTAAGAAAAACATCACGAATAAAAGTTACTTGAAATTTTAGGTCTTATTCAAATTTTAGATGTATTAGGTGGAAATTTTTTAATAAAAATGAAATGGAGAAAGTTGGTTTTTTTCGTTAATTGTTTATAAAATTTTTACATGTAGAAGCTATAAAAATTCATTATAATACAATTTTATGAAATATTTCAACATAAGTTGATAAATTTTAAAATTTAATTTTTCTTTTGAAATACTTCAGACTTATATCGCTAAATATACATAAATCAATTAGTGTTATAAGCAGAAAAACAGACATATGTAAAATATCTACTATTTTATATACTGATACATTTATCTTTTTTTATTCATATAAAATTAAGAATCTTGTTTGGTTATTGTCAACAATATTTTTTCATCTCACTAATGATTTGTAATTTTAATTCATTAACACAGCAAAAAACAAATAATAAATAACATCCTTTAATCAGCAACGGACATGTTTATGTGATAACATAAAATTCATTATCACCAGACACCAGATCACTCTTATGAACAGAGATACTGTTAAATCAAACTTCAGCTGAAATGTTAACCATATGTCACTTGACAAAATTAAATTCTATTTGGTTAGTTAATTTTCGAGTTCAGAAAATTGAAATTGAAGAACTTTTTTCAAAAGCATAACGAAGAAAGTTATTATAATTAAATTAAAAAAATAGCATTTAGCAAAGCTTAAAGATTTATAATGGTAATTGTTAAAATAATACCATAAATTCATTTTTTCTTCTCAATAATTAATAATTAGTGATGTTACGAACCTTGATTTTTAGGGTTGAACCGAACTTTGAATTTTTCGATTAATCTAGATCAGTTATTATTTAAATAGTAAAAATACATTCAATCAAAATCAAAAGAAAATTGTAAACTCCAAATAAATGACCCTTCCGAAATTTTACATTTGTAACTATGTCAAATATGAAATTCTTATATTTATTTAACAAAGTTAAGTTTGATTATTTTTAATTTAAGTTCGATTTTGAGTAGAACTCAACGATTTGAACTTTACTGTTATTAATATTCTACGTTATATAATTTTCAAAAAAAAATTGTTCCTATCCACCTTTTTTCCCCTTAAAATTGTTTCAACTTTTATATTTTAAATAGAACATATATGTCAAACTATAAAATAATTTTATAAGATATCAGTATTTTTATAATAAGATGGGAAGAGCAGTATGGTTTATTAAAGCTTAGATTAAAAATAAATAGCCCGTGCCTCACCTCCACATTATATATTAAAGGTTAAATAGTAACTTTTAATATTCTGGTCTAAATGTTATTATAATCAATCAGTTATTTTCTTAAAATTTTATCAACTTTAAATCAAAACATTTGTATTTTTGGAAGTTATTAACTCTTTAATATAATGATTGTATGTGAAGTGTTATTTTTTTTTTTTATCTCTAGATATTTATAATGTTATTTAAAAAACATAGGATACTTTTAACTTTTATAAAGAAAAAAATTTTCTATGTTTTTCACTTTTAAAGAAATGCGTAAATCATAATTAAACAATCGCTGTGTATTCTTAGTTTATTGAAACCATTATACTGCGCTTTGGTTAGATTTCATATGGATTCCCTGTTTGGAGTCATATATTATATTATATAAGGTGTTCAATAAGTAAAGAAACGAGTTTCTATTGTTCTCATTGTTTGTAACAACTGACCTGATTTCTTATTTTTTGAATATTCTGTATATTGATTTATAAAACGCGTTTAGAATTGCTTCTCAAAATGTATAATCTTACATCATAAGAGTTAATAATACCTTTATTTGTTATCAATTGCAATCACATTTGTTATTTAAGTGATTTAACTAATTATAAATAAAAATATTTAGTGCAATATTATTCCTTTATTCAAAAATTAATATGATTTTATCACTTATTCTCATCCCTCATCAATATCATTAGAATAGTATTGTTTAAGATTTACTTTGCAAATACTATTAAAAATTTAAAGTTTATTTTTTCTAAATACATTTTCTAGAAATTATTAAGATTTTAATAATTGTATGAGTGCTTAATACCTAATTCATTTTTCATGTCTCAAAAATTGGCGATTTTCAATTATGCAAGTTGTCATAATGAAAAAGTAATATATCCTAAGATGAATTAATGTTTAGAGGTTGTAAGCAACTAATTTGTGACCTTATTGATTACCGGACAGTCTAAATCGTGAAATTAGAGACGTGTACAAATAATAATTACGTGTGAAGATAAAATTTGGTGAAAGAACATGTTTTTTTTATGTCCTTTTACTTATAATCCTGAAGACGCTATAGAATTACAATTGGTAATACTTATTGGAAAATAAACTTAGCAGAGTCACTTTTCCGTAATTCCACTTACAATGAAAATTATACACATAAACATGTTTATATAACGACCACATCGAACCGCTGGACATATTTTCGAAACACCTGGGGGTACATAATCGCGTACATTAGTTCTTTTAAATTCCTAGTACTAGATTTTAAAATTAATTACAAAATTGGGATGTATTAAATAATTATAAGCTTGTCACACGATATCTTATGAATTCATGGTATTTTACTACACTTGCAAATTTTGAGTTAAGTGGTACGGAATTGTAATTTTGATTTGATCATAATATACAGGACCCTGTATTTTACAATGTGGAAGATAGAGTTGAACGCATCCACGACGAAATTTATTATGTGTATATGATACAATTAAAAGGAGGTAGTTATAAATATTTCTTCCTCCCCATCGAAAAATTCTGACACACATCTTATTCTAAAATAACTTTATCTAAAGCAAGGCATTTATAGAGACTAATTTTTTTGAGGGTCTTAATCAATATATCTGTTTGTGTCCTAAAAATATCCTTAGTAGGGTATACTAATTGTCCACAAGTATGTATTGTCATAATATTTACCGATTAATTTTAAGTCGCTAAAAGCAAATTAATTTTTTTTTTTTTAAGTCGATCTTTAAAATTGTCAAGTGTTTTATGGTTATGACGTAGTGAAAAGTTTTACAAATGTGATATTTAAAATGAAAATTACCATTATTGCTTTTTATTTATTTGATTTTCAAATTTAAGTAAAATATTTTTATAAGCCACTTTTTTTTTAGGAATTTTGGATTGATAATCCGAACGAAACATTTTGGGATGATCCCACAATGTATGTGGATGATCCAGGATTAGACAATCTTTTATCAATTACTACAGATGAACTGTTGTACACAGACAATGAAGAAACACTAAGTGATATATTACAAGATCCAGAAGAGATTCATTTCAATAAAGCAGAAAAGTTACCTTTGACCTGTTTATACCCTAATTGTGACAAATCATACGCTAAACCTTCACACCTTAAGGTATAATTATTTAGTCTATACATGGCTAAATAACAATGACTTATTCAAATAAAAATTTGTTTTTACCATCTTGAAAGTTTATAATCAGATACTTAAAACATAAAAAAACGGTTGCACAAGGGGGACGCGGCACAGTGTGGACGTGGCATAGTTGAGATAAGCATAGATGATTTCTGACAGTGATTAATATCACTATCATAAGAAAGAAAGATGTAAATCTGTAGATAGTGTTTAATTATGAGAAATTTATGGATTATTCTAAAAGCAAAATTAACTCCTATTTTCTTTATAATTTCAAGTAGTTCTATGATTTGTAATAATAAATGTCTATTTTAGAATTACAAATAGTATGAAATTGATGTTTAATAATTTAATATTATAATTTTTACGGAGAAATTATAAAAAATTAAATAGCACTTTTATGGCAAACGTATATACAAATTGAAGGACTTGATACAAAACTTTTCAAAAAATAATTCATTGTTAATTATATATAAATGGTATGGAAGGAATTTTCATCAATCAAAAATTTGGTTTAGTTAAGTATATATTGGTCTATGATCATTAAAAAATATTTCATATTAGTGATATGAATTTACTATCTAAATCAGTATAAACATTTTTATTTAAGTGATCTATAACGATCAAAATGTAAAAAAAAAAACTTTTCTGATAAATTTACTGTTAATTGTAATTAAAAATTTCCTGACTGCATATTAATCTTAACAATTTCATTTTTTTCTATTTAATAATGTCATTTTCAAACTTGCAAGTTGATTTAAAAGTTATGGTGATAAATTAATTTTTTTTTTTTATTATAAACTTTCACTTTAAAGGACGAAATAAAGTAGATTAAAAATTAACATATTAAATTTCAAAATCAATAATAATTTTAAACAATTCAATATAACAATTATGTAGTACATAATTTTATATTATATTTTTGAATCTAAGAATTACTAATCTGGATATAATTAAGGAAATAGTTGATGTTGCTTTTGTAATTATCTACCAATGTCTTAGAATTAAACATTATCTACAGATTTGCATCGAAGCGTTTCTTATGATAGTGATTTTAATCACTGTCAGATTAAATCTATACTGGACCCTACTATGCCACGTCCCCACTGTGCCGCGATCCCCATGTTGCTGGGTTTTTGTACATCAAGCTTATGGGACAAATTCATTTTATTTTAGAACAAAATGTTGAATCAAATTTTACTTTTACAAAATAAAGATTTTTAATTTTTGCAATGAACAAATCAAAATCTCAAGTATTACTTCCTAACAGAATTAGGAACAGAAATTTTTTTATTTTTCGAAAAGTTTTACGATATCTAGTACCTTAGTTGACCAGTATTGGAATTTTTTCGAGAATATATGTTAATAATAGCAGAAACTGAAACTATTATGTAATTGCTTTAAAACCTAAAATTAACCAATATATTATTTTTCAATTAATTTTTGGTTTTTAAACTATTTAAAGTTAAATTTTAAAGTTAATTTTTAAAGTTAAGATTTCAAAAAGCAGTCTCAGAATATTTTTGATTTATGTTACCATTTTTTCAACATATACTAAATCAAAATTCTATATAGATGTACAAATGTACTAGATCTCAGAAAAATTGCCAAAATCCAAAATTATATCAACTTCTAGCCCCGATTTTATTTGATAATCAATTAATAATGTGTTATATTAACCTTTTATTTCATATACAGGTACATATGCGAAGGCATAGTGGAGAAAAACCCTATTGTTGCATGTGGCCAGGATGTACCTGGAGGTTCTCAAGATCTGACGAACTTTCCAGACATTGTCGTTCCCATTCTGGAATTAAACCGTATAGTTGCAATTTATGTGAAAAACGATTCTCCAGGTCTGATCATTTAGCTAAACACTCTAGGGTACATCGGAAAAAAACATCTAATAACGGTCGTCGAAGACAAATGCCAGATATTTGTAATTCTAAATAGCAAATACAAATTCAAGAAAAAACTTGAAACAAAAGTAATACTAAAATAAAAATAAAAACTCGCAATGTTTCAAATTTAAATCATTTTATATTTGTTTTTTTTTCACAATCACGCAAATATTAATTTTACAATCTAAGAAAAACTTAATAATTACTATAACTTATATTTAAAATGCAACAACGCCAAATTGATCAAACCCAATAAAACAAAACAAAATAAACAAGAAACCTTATAGTATGAGACATGAATTTTAAAACAATATACAAAAATTTTTGTTTTCATTTACCTTAAAACTTATAATTTTTTATTAACCAATTAAAAGCCGGGATAGAAAATAAATAAATAATAAAAAAAAAAAAAGTCAAAGTGATTAAACTATAAATACAATAATATTACGGCAAGACTTAAAATCTAAAGCCTTCTACATAACAATGATCAGTCACAATTAATAATACAAGACACCGGGTGATACATAAAAGTTTAGTTAATTTGATGTAAAGATCACTCTTTATTCTTTGATTACCTAAACATTGTTACCCGCTTATTTTATGGGAACCAGAGGAGGAGCCAGCAGTCTCAATTGTAACATTTAAACGATAGATACTTAATACATCGTTATTTTTTACTATACGTATTATTTTTATCTCAATTTATTCACTTCGTTATTACCATTAGATATTACTTTTCGTAAATATTTATTAATAATTATAATTAAGCAGACAATATTAATAATTTACATAGTTAATCTTATATTTAAACCTTAAAATTTAATTTAATTTTCTTGAGAAAAATTTAAACATTAAATAAAATCAAAGTTTAGATTATATTTTTAAATTTGACTTTCTCTGATAGATATAACTTAAAAAAAATTGCCTTATTTAATTAAACATAACCAAACTAATCTTAACCACAGAATTAATAATAATTAAACTATTAACTATTAAATATATTAATATTACATTACAATAACACTTATTCCTTCCTAAATATAATATTAATGATCCTACCAATGATTTATTATTATTAATTTAGGATCCGACTAGGATTCAATTATTCAGCATACACATACAATTTTAACGACAATGCATAATTCAATGACAAAAATATTAGCATGGATTCCCGTTTACCGTGCCAGTGGCTATGGTATATATAAATAAAAAATTTAAAGTATCTGCAATTATTAAAACAGAACAAGTCTATCAAAATGATGAAAATATGATGACTGTATAGTAGAATTTTTGTATGATATTCTTAGTTTCAATTTTTCTTATTTAATTACAATAAAATATAATTTTCTTATTATTTTCTCAGTTTTTTTAAAAAATAAATAACCGAGCGCACATAGTGTCCGGGGAAGACACCAATGAGCTAAATATCACATTAGAACATACATATTATTTAATCCAGACAAAGGCGCTTTGGCATAACCAAGTCTTACTCTTTAGTGTTACTTATGGGACAGAATATAAAAATACCCCTGTAAAATTTGAACAGTCGTATGTATATACAATTTATTTTGTTCAAGTTAACCCAGAAAAAACCTAATTAAATTTTATTATAAATCCAAGTTAAATACTTTTTTTTAATTAAATTTTTTTAGAAATTAATAAAATTATCTAAAAATTAAACAAAGTTTAGATTGATTTCATAACTACATGGCAACATCAATTTTTTAGTTTTTAACATACAATTCTAAGGGGAAAATATTTACAAAACTAATTTTTAAATTAATACAAAAACAATATTTTTAAAAATTCTTATTAATTTCTTGAATAAAATTAATTACTATTTAGTTCCACTTAACACACTTATAACACACATAAAAAAGTATGTTATAAGTTCACTATCTTTGGGAATATCGGAGCAGATGTTCAAAACATTTCACAATTGATACAAATCAAAATTATATACACATTTACATTACTTTAATTAATAATCTCATAATAAAATATTGTTTAATTAAGATTAAAGCTAGGAAAACTAAATGAAAACTTTATTGATCATACAAAATCCATTGAAGATTAGATAATTTTAATAAAAACAACAAAACTATTGATTAGATTATAAGAGTTGATAGGAAAATGAAAATGTAAGATAGATATAATGGAATGTATAACATTTTCTCATTCATTTGAAACTTATAAACCACACATTTCATATAAATATATACAGTTTTAACCTATAAAATGGTAACCAAAACAATATCTCTATGGGAGTCAATCTGTAAACCTAAGATCAATTGAAAAAAAATTGCTTACTACACTGACATAGCCTAAAATTAATAAAAATAATGTTAAATAAATAAAAATTAGATAAAAAAAATAATAATAATAATAGCGTTGTTTTAATATTATAACAAAAAAATATAATTTATTTTAAATAAAAGAGAAAAATTAACACATATTATAGTTTATTATAATCAGATATCCATTAAAAAATCTCTAATTATATGATGAATTATTTTTTAAGTCTTAAAAAATATATTTAAACAAATAAATAAAATGTGAAATCAATAATAATTAATAAAACAATTTAAATGAGGCCATGTAAACTTGACAAAAATATTAAAATATGACCACATAAAATAAAAAATAATTTAGAAAAAAAAAGAAAGTTATAAATTAATAGATTTGTTTAAAGTTGTTTAGAAGTGACTATTTGAGTTTATTTAAACTCATTTAAAATTTTCCAAAACAGTTATCACAGAAAAAGAAAATAATTTACTAAAAAAAGTAAAATCATATTAATAATTCAGTCGTACAGATATAAACGGGTTACACTATGGGTTCGGATGGGAAAGCAATTATGATAATTTGTTATACAATGTATATATAACAAGTACATCTTAATTTAAAATCTTATCTTAAAATTAATAGTAACTTAATATATTAATTCTAATATTACTTTTTAAAGAATTAAAAATTATTTTTAACTTATATACCATTAAAAATATTTATTATTGTAATCGAATTATCGTTACAGTCCACATTAATATTTTTTTTAAATTGGTGATTTACACCTAGAGGCACATTTTTTTTTTCATAAACAATTATGTGTAACTATTATACACTTCTAGGTTGTTCTTTGAATGAGAAAACAAAAAACATCAATCCTCATAAAATAATTCTTAATTTTTTATAGAAAAAGAAAAACATTAAAATTTATAATTAAATCACTTAAACAATATAAATAATTTCGAAATAATAATAAAAAAAAGGGAAATTAAAATTAAATAATAATTAAATTTAATTGTTTTAAATAAAACTTTAAAAATATGAAAACAATTAATCTTACAATAATTTCTATCATATTAAGATGACTTAAATTTTTTTTCTTTATTGCTGCAAACTTAGCCGACATTAAGCCGAATGTCAAATGTAACACATTAGCTACTGAACATGATTAATCGAAAATTATGCTATTTATTATTCAGCAAACAATTTTTGCATCTAATAAAAATTTATTCCATTTCATTTACCTATCATTTAATAATTATTACACTAAAATCTTGGTTTAAAAAGAAATGATAATTTAAATGTAAACTTTGTTTATACATAAATTATTTAGTCTGAGTAAAACAAGATTTTTACTGTAAAAATTATTTAAGATTAAATTAGTTAATTGAAATGGTATGCCTGCACAAATTTAAAATTGTTATGAAGTCCAAGAATCAACTGGTTGTCATAGAAGAAAAATAAATAGCACAGCATTCAAATAAAAAATTATAACTACATTCATAAATTATGAGGAGATGACACAACATATAAAACTTTCGAGACGAAAAATTACAGATCACAAAAAATATTTAGATAAATTTGTAATGAACTAAATCTGATTTAATAAATATTGAAAATCAAATATTCTGTTCAGAAAACAACTAGCATTTCCTTACAGAATAAAATTAATTTTTTACATTTTTTTAAACAATTAGTTCTATGAATAATTTTTATATATATTTTTTAGAACAATACAAATTTATCTAAATTTTTAACGACCAAAAAATTTTAACTAAAAATAAAACAAAACAAAACATTAGTTTTGGGACACAATTATATAGGGAATTTCAGTATTCAGCGGTCAGAACTGTTCAACGTAGTTACTTTTCATTTTTATTTGTGTGAATAATGTTGATAAGAGTCATCTGGTGATGCAGTTGTAGATGGATGTTCTTCAGCTGGTATTGGAACAGTATGAATTATATTTGGTGCAGTACTAGCAAAATATGGGTAACCCGGATGAGGGCCAGCTACATACTAAAAAAATGATGGAAATATTAACACTTATTATATTTTTGATATAAACACTTTAAAACTTACAGATCCATTACCAATCTGTAAAGCTGACATATGAGTAGCCAGTTGGGGTATCACAGAACCATATTGTACTGCACTAGGATCTGGCTGTTGAATCATCTGGCAACATACAGGAGTCTTAAACAAACCATTTATAAAATTTTATTTCTATGTTTAACCCGTGTGATAGAAATTTAAAATTTATATATTATAACATTTATTTTTACAAAAAATCTATTTAATACAATATTGGACAGAACAATTATCATAAAACTTAAATACAAATAACTCATAGTTTTATGAAAATTCATAAACCGACTGCAAATGTACTAATATAAAAAAATCTTATCTTAAATTGTTTATTAATGTATATATAAGATTAGTAACTTAAATATAAAATTTAAGTGATTATAAAATTGAGTGGTTATAATATGAAACATGTATAAAGTGTTTAATAAATAGAAGATTCCAACTGCCCAAAAAAATTGACCTATTTGTATATTTATTGATGGCCTGTATATTATAACTGTAACTTAAATAAATACAAATAATACCGATGTTTCTTTTAGAAGTAGCGACTCAATTTTTTTTAAATAATTTTTTTTTTGGTTTTAATAAGTTACAAATATTGCCATGCGCAACAAATAATACAGTAACTCAAAAAATTGGACATTGAAATTATGAGAGATTTGGATTTAGGTTTTACTCTTTTTATAATAACTTTCATCAAAATATCAAAAATTTGGTTTGAATCGTAATTAAACTACTACGAAAATTGATAAATATTGAGTGTATTGGAGAATATATTTTATTTTTAATCTCCTAAAAACTAAAAAAAATTATTTACTCCCTTATTTGTTGCGCATATTGATATGTATTTCCATTTATTTAATATAAAACATTTTTTAAGTTCATTCCTTAAGTCTTATAATTAATTTTTTTTAAAGGCAACATACATATTTAACTAAATCATGTTATTAAGAAAATGACTGATCAATAACAATTCTTGGACCAGTATTTTAGAAATTTTTAAAAGGGTGACTGTAGGTAATTGTAAATAAGTTTGATATTTTAAATAAAAAAAACAAACATAAATTTAACAATTTTTAAGCTTATTAAAAAAAAATTAAATCAAAAATGATATTGATTGAATGCTGTTCACTTCAATTTGTTTAAAATTAATCTATGATATTTATTTTTGAATAAAATAAAATATAAGTAATACAGAAACTAAAGTTATAAATTGCAAGTTAAAAGACTTAAAAGTGAAACAAAATGTTATTTTTTAACTAACTTTAACGAGTTAAACTAATAAATAACTTAAATATATTTAATTTAAAAATTTTAACATCATAACTACTAATTCATATTATTCCAACGTAGTGGTGCAATCGTAAAAACTTGAAGAAAACTTAAAATGAACATATGATATAATTTATAAACAAAATACATAGATTTTACTGTATATCCAAAAATATTTTCACCTTCCTTGAATATAAGTGTTTAAGAAACATCCCTTTTTATAAAGCTATAATAGGCCAAAAATGCGAGAAAAACAATGAAACATTAAGATGTTTAAAAAAAATTTTGCATCCAGTATTCATATATGTATGATTTTGTTACAAATTCAAATAAGTCTAGTACAAAGAATGGTGTAGACATAATAATGGATGAGGAGATGAAAAATAAAGTAGTAGAAGTAGCTCGGAAAAGTGACAGAATTAGTCGTAAAATTGATATTCGAGGAAAATGTGCTGAATGTAATAAGTGCCTATGCAACACAAGTAGGATGTGATGAAATAGACAAGGAAGTGTTTTGGTGAGAGATGGATGCGGTGATAGGTGGAGATGTGAATGGACATGTAGGTAATGAGAGGAGAGGATATGAAAGAGTACACGGAGGCTTTGGTTTTAGTGGGAAGAATAAAGCTGGAGAAAGAATCCTGAATTTTGCAGTATTGTATGATCTTGCTGTGGTTAATACTTATTTTAGAAAGAGGGAAGAACATTATATAACTTATAAGAGTGGGAGGAATAGATCACAGATTGATTATCTGTGGAATGAAATGATGCGAGTAAAAGATTGTAAGTTATACCAGGCGAGAGTGTAACTACACAACTAGACTGATGGTAATGGAGTTGTGATGTACCGGAAAGAGAATATACAAAAATAGAAGGAACAAAAAAAAAAATCGAAGATCAGGTGGTGGAAATTGAAAGAGGAAAATGAAAAAGAGTCTGTTAAGACAGTAAAACAGAGAACGGTGTGGAATATCGAGGGAGACATAAATGATGTGTGGAATATATTTGCTAGTTGTATAAAGAATACTGCAAAGGAGATTGCTGGCGAGAGTAGGAATAGAATGCCAGGAAACAAGGAAACATGGTGGTGGGATGAAGACGTTCAAAAAATCATCGAAAGTAAGAAAAAACAATTCAAAGTATGGCAGAAGAGCAAAAGGAGAGAAGATAGGATGAAGTATAAATACTTGTGCAAAGAAGCCAAGTGTGCAGTAAGTAAGGAAAATTTTAAAAGTATGACGAGCTGTACAATATGTTAGGAACAAAGGAAGGTGAGAAAGAAATCTATAGACTTGCAAAAGTAAAAGAGAAAAGGTCTAAAGATTATCCTTATATAAGGTATATAAAAAGTGTTGATAAAAGGGTACTCTCGAGTGATGATGATGTGAAAAAAGGTGGAAATAATATTTTGAAAAATTACTGAATAAGGAGTAAAGAAGGGAAAAGAAGAAAAAGCTGTGTATGGTATTTATAAGATTTGGAGAAAGCGTATGATAGAATACCGAGAGAGGTTTAAAAGTACATTAAAATAATAGAGGATATGTATGGTGGCACTTGTACCAGGGTAAAAAGTGTGGGAGGAGTAACAGAAGGTTTTCGGGTAAAAGTAGGGGTGCAACAAGGTTCTACTTTAAGTCTTTACTTATATCTAGTGATGGGAAATATCGAATAGAAACTATCGAACTATTCGATAGTCATTCAAAAAATATTTGAATAGTAAAAATATTCGATAGTTTATGCTAAAAATAAACTATTCGGTTGTATAAACACAATTTGAATATACGATAGTTTAAAATATTTGAAAATGCCCATCACCAATTTTTACTATTATTAATTGTATAATAAATTATTTATAAGTATTCGTTAATTATCATCTTATTATAATTAAGTATACTTAATAAAAATTTTAGGTAAAACTAATCGAATATTTTTTAAAACCATTCGGTAGCCCATTCGAATAGTTTTTAAAACTATTCGATAGTTTATGCTAAAAATAAACTATTCGATAGTTTAAAATATTCGAAAATGCTCATCACTACTTATATCCTTTAGTGATGGATGAAATTACTAGAGAAATATAAGGAGAAGCGCCATGGTGCATGTTGTTTGCTGACGATATAGTGTTAATAGGAGAAAAAAGGGAGGAAATTAATCAAAGGCTAGAGATGTGGAGATCAGCTTTTGAAGATAAGGGTTAAAGAATAAGTAGAAGTAAGACAGCGTATATAGAGTACGAATTTGACAAAAGAGAACACGAGGTAGGTGAAATGAGGAGATCAGTGACAATAGGTGAGGACGTGATTGGAGAGGTGGAAAGTTTTAAGTATTTAGGGTCAGTTGTGCAAATGAGCAGTGGTATTGATGAGGACGCAAGACACAGGATTAAGTACGAGCGGTTGAAGTGGGGAGAAGCATCTGGTGTTTTATGCGATAAAAGAATTCCTATGTGGCTGAAAGGTAAATTCTACAAGACTGTAGTGAGACCAGCCATGATATATGGTTCAGAGTGTTAGGTGGTTGATAAAAAAGTAGAGCAGAGATGAGAATGCTTAGATGGATGAGTGGAGTGACTAGAGAAGGAGTATAGGTGTAGCGTCAATTGTGGATAAGATGAGAGAAAATAGACTTAGATGGTTTGGTCGTTTTATGAGGAGAGAAGAATAGGAAGTTGTAAGAACAGTTATAGAAATGAATGTTGAAGAAAGAAAAAGTAGAGGAAGACCAAAAAAGAGATGGAAGGAAGTTATTGAAAGCGATATGAGGACAGCTGATGTGAGCGTTGAGAATGTGGGAGATCGTGTCAAGTGGAAATTTAGGATAAGGGAAGCCGACCCCAAGTAATTGGGATTAAGGCAAAAAAAAGAAGAAGGAAGTTCTAGCAAAATAGAATAAAACTTGCATCTTCATAACAATAACATTATTATGAATTTTAATTATTATTCATATATAAGAATAATTAATTAATCTAATATTAATCAAACTAATGACATCAAATTCTATCTATTATCAATGTTAAATTAAAACATTTCATTTATTACTTTATTATCTTAACTTACATCTAATTGAGCCAGGTGATGTGGTGGGGCTGGTTGCATTACATATTGTGGTAACCACGTGGAAGCTGGAATTGAATAACCATGAGCAGGAAGCGCTTGAGTTGCATAGTGACGCCCAACATACTGTGCTAAACTGGCTGGTAACACATGGGTAGTTGCAGCAGTAGTTAAGCCATTGTGAGCAGCATCATACCCCACATGAGAACCCTGCAACATATAGTGCTGTACCGGAAATCGCACACATCCGCCATTCTGTTACACAACAACAATTAAATACAAATAATTTATCACACAAAATTCACAATTAAAAATAAAATAAAAAATAAGAGATAATAAATAGCAACTACTATAGTTAATGCAGTAATAATTCATCACAAAATAACTAATTACTTTTAACTATAACTTACAATAATATAAAAATTATACGACCAATTGCAATACTACATTGATTTATTTCTTAAAATTAAACTAAGGATATGAATATGTTTACAAAGGATATCAAATCACAATATATAATTTACAACATGATAAAATCAAATTTTTTATTTAATTAATGGTATTGATAGTAGAGTTTATTACTTCTAAATATTTTAAGACAACTTTTAAGAGCAAAAAAATAAGTACGCAAAGTAAAATTTGATATCCTATTTTTCTAGAAAAAATAAAATCAGACATTAAATTCATGAGTACTTAGTGTTTTGATAAGAAATTCCTTTAGCTGAACTACTAAATATTATGACCAATAAATACATCAAATTTAAAATCCATACCTCATTTTCTCTCCATAAACGAGAATCTGATCTATAGTTTGTATTTCTCTTCTTTTGACCGCTATCTGCAAACTTAACAAGCAAAGGTTCTTTAGAACCAGGTAAAGGATTACCATTGAACATCTGGATAATTTGTTCACATTTTTCTTTAGAATCCATTCTGCGAAAAAATAAAAATAAAATAGTATTTTAAAGTATAATAATATTAATTAATAAAAATAATCACAATAAATACTATTGTTTATTAACAAATTAAATTCTAAGTATAAGTACATCAATTTGAATACATATATTTACCTGGCAAAGCCTACACCTTTACTGGTCATATTAGTGTCACGTAGTATTCGAGTAGATACCACTTGCCCAAATTTAGATAGTAAAGTATCTAAATCATTTTCTTTGAAATTTGGAGGCAGGTTAGCAATATACAAGTTTGTTGGATCTTGTTCTTGCTGCTAATCATATAAAAAACTCAATTTAAAATTTAGATATAATTTAATATAAAAAAAAATTATTCTCCAGTCAAACAGTAATTTTCGTGTAAAATTTAAAAAGTATAGGCCTGCATTTTATTAATTGTAACCTGTTTCATGGCTGTACCTAAATTCTTTTACTTCTTGAAACCTATATTTTCACTTGAATTTCAAAATAAATGTTTTGATTTCTTTAAATGTATTTCACTGAAATACGGTTTATAAAAATGTCCGAAAAATAATTAAACAATAATAATAACTGTAAAATAAGTGTAACAATTATATTACACATACACAAAAGCAAAAGACATTATAATGCTGATCTACAGCTTATTAAAAAGTTAACAATATTAACAGCACATAAAACAAAATCTAACAGAGGAAGTAAGACATTTTTTTAATAAAATCTATAGGTGCAGTCAAAATATATTTTGACTTGTTGTATTGATATATATATATATATATTTGTGGATACCATTTATGTCTAGATGGCACCACTTCCAGAGTCTGGAAGCAGATAGTGGTATCATTTAGCATTATAAGAAGGGAAAATTAAATTAAGTCTTGAGTTGGCTAAGACGTGTTTTTGTGTGTGAATAAATATATAAGTTATTTTTGTTTGTGAATATTTAACAATGCTTTTGTGTGTGATTAAATATATATATATTAAGTAATAGTATTGTGTCTTTGCTCTTTCCTATAGTTGCCTGTTGTACTTTATATATATATATATATATTTATTCAACTTAAAGAAACACATTTTACTTATAATTCATCCGAAACACACATAAGCCTCACTCACTTATTACAGAGTTTTATTTTAACTAATACAAAGAACGTGTTTGCTATGTTAGACACGCATACATAACTGGATATCGAATATAGCCATTGGTACAATGCAAAAACACAAAGACAAAAAAAAGTAGTCACAAGTATCATTAAAGCACACAGAAAATTAGTTAAGCAAAAACCGACAAACTATTTGAAAAAGACAGCTACAATAAATAATTCATTTTTTAATTGTACATTATTTTTATCTATTTGTTATAATCATTCACCCTTTTCGATAATTAAATTGTTTTATATTTTTGCCCTAGAAGTTCTATATAAAAAAAAAAAAATATTGCTTGTAATTTAAATTATGAGAAAATACTACGGTCATTTTTTAACCACTTTAATACATTAAATATCAATCATAAATTAATTTTTTCTGTATGCTAACTTTCATAAATACTAAAATTCATCATTACAATATAAACAGAAAAATTAAAGTGTTTTTTATTCTTAATTAAATATAATAATAATACCAAGTAAATAATATACTTGATCATTACAACTGCAGATTTTACCTAAATATGTAATAAAAAATAAAGAATTGTTGTTTTTAAATAAATCAAATATGATGATAAAAAATCTAGAGGCAAATCAAGATATATTTTCAAGAATGTATTAACATCAGTTGCCAGTTTCATGTAACTAGTTGGAGATATCTAGCCATGTTTGCAAATATAAAATATCACTAATATATATATATATATTAATATATGATAAAAACAATAATAACGTTTAAATTCAGATGAGTTGGCACAATTTGATATAAAAAAAGATACACAAACTGGTTAAACCTCCGATTCAACCAAAATAATTATTTAAATAACCAGTAAACCATTCAATAGGTATTATATAGGTATTCACACACTCATTGATTAAATATAAATAGATAGCACGCAATAAAAAATTTCGGCAACGTTATTTTTTAACTCTGCCCGTAAGTATCTATTAGATAGCGTTAGTATCGCGTTGTTTATTAGTCAAAAAAAAATTATAAGCCAATCAAATTTGACGATAAGAACACTATCTATTAGCTTTATTTGTGGTCCAAAAAAGCATTATCAAAATTTATATTCGTGATTTATCCATTTGTATTTAATTAACGACACAATAAAATTCATGACGCAGTAAAAATATGGAAAATAATGTCAGACGCTATACGAAGAGTGAAAGAGAATGAAAGTTGTAATACTGTTTGACAGCGAAAAAAGTATAAGTATAATCCATGCAACAAACGTACAGTGGCCGCTCTACGCTGAACTGGAATACCCACTTTAGCCATTTGGGCTTGTACACCTTTTGCCTGAAGACCTTTGACAGCAGCATCAGCGCACGTGCCTGATTCGAAGTCAACAAATCCGTAACCTGTAAAAATAAAAATATAAAAAAATTATAATAAAAAAATTAATTACTTATTCAAAAAGCCAAGTATTCAGGTTTGTGGTACGTAGTAACATTAAAATGTTAAGTAGTATAAATATGAACATTACTAAAGAAATTTTGTTTCAATTTCAGGAATTAGAAAAAAATAAAATCAAAATTTTAAAAATAATACATATCATAATCAAATATTCAGTTTGTAATTGAGAAAAAAGATAACACATTATTTTTAAGAATCACAATAGAATAAGTATATACTCCAGAAAAAATAATTGTCAATTTTATATTGGTATATCCTGAATACATGTTTTATTTGATTAAAAAACTAGTTTCGTACACTTGTTGGTGTTCTTGTCTAATATCGCTTTGGTTGAAATAATGTTTCCGTATCTGGAAATAAAAAAAGTTAAATAAATTTGAATTGTGTAAAAAGATAAGGATTATTCTATTACATTACATAAGTATGTAATATGTTTAATGATGAAGGTGGGAGAAATTTTCACAGTAATCAGTAGGTGGGTGGTTATGACAGTATATCCTGTTTTATATTTAAACATGTTATCGAAAAGGGCGAACAAGGTTCAAAAAAGCGGGTATACAATATAACGATGTATAAACCAATGAAATAAATATATATTTTAATAATATACATTTACAGGAATAAAATACTGATAGTAATATAATATAATACATATAATAAAATGTATATCAATATAGATAATTCGTTAATACAGATTAAATTGAGATCTGTACAATGTTCACATTAAACTAATGACAAATTATTTTTGACTATTTTTTAAACATAATATATATATGACAATTCTTCTTTTTCAATGTCTTCTTTTTTTTAAGTTGACGTATAAGTAATGTATTAATATTTCAACAATAAAATTATTTTTCTTAAATACTTTGTAAAGAACGATAATAATTTCTTGACAAGTTCAAATAGGCAAAACATTTATAAAAAAAAATGTTTTTTTTTATTGTGTTAAGTTAAATCTGTAAACTGAAAGTTTACAACTTTGGCAACTTTTGCTAATAGAAATATGAATTATTGTAAACGGGGTGGGTAAATGTCGATTACTTATGTCTTTAAATCACCATAATCGGGCAGGACAATCGGCAATGTAATGTAAACTATTTTATTTTTAATAAATCATAACATTTTTTTTGAACTTATAAGTTAAAAGAAAGGTAATGTTTGTTATTATGACCTGAAGTTTTATTATGTTTTTTTTAATTAAAGAAAATTAATATAATTCATAGATTATTGTACAAAAAAAGCCTTTTGAATTTGTAAGAGAACTTTTTAAAAACTTTTCAGAGTGGCTTTGGGTTCTTCATAGATTCCTAATTTATGAAAAATGAAAGTTTAAAATATATTAACTCATTATTCATTAGTAAGAAAATGTATCTAAAAAAAATAATTTACATTGTATAACAAACTGAAAGCCATATTATGTCGCTGATTATTTACTAGTAATTTTTTTCCAACTAAACTAATAGATATAAAAACTAAAACGAATAAAAATAATTACTAGGTAATAATAGAGTGGACGAATGAATATTTTTAATACCATTTCAATGAACTCGATTATACAAGAACTTAAATTAACTTACAATTGATAACCTTCTCGATGGCTAACAATTTAGTTTACATAGCCACAATAAACTATCATGACTCACTCATCAAGCAGCTAAGATATAATACTAACCTACAACAATATTTTAATGCTCTATAAATTTCTAACATATGGTAAACGCAAATATAAATATAGAGTTAATTTCAAAATATTAAAAAAAGATTTAAATATAAATAAGCCAAAATCGATAATGCTGAATTACAATAATTGATGTTTACTGTCATTGTTTTTTAAACATATTTTATATCAACTATAAAATAATAAGTTTTTAGTTCACTCAACTGGATCATCGCATTATAATTTACATCTATGTATTCAAATTAATGTGTTTATACTCAATTGTAAGAATAATGTTTTTAAAGTTGAGATCATCAGTTATTAAACATTATTTAGAACTATAATGATTTCGACATTATAGAAGAGCTATAATGATAGTTTGAGATCAAAAACTGAAGACATTCGAGTCCAGCCCGTCTTAATACATTTTTAAAAATCAAACAATTATATAGTACCAATAATGTAAGTAAATAAAATTAATAGTTTTACTATGACATTCAATAATAATTATGTGCCCATGAGACAAAAAATAACAAGTGAAAGAATACAATAAAATTTTGCTCCAGTAAATACTTATAATTAACTAAATATATTTATTATATAGATATAGCAACTAAAATTTTATTCAGGACGGCTATTGGGAAAGTCCTACTTTTTAATAGCATGAATATTAGATATTATAGATATTATAGATATTATATTGGAGTATGGTAGCGTGGTATGGGACCCCCACACGGCTGAAAACGCTCGTCAATTGGAAAGGGTTCAAAATAAATTCCTTTGTTTTGCTGGACGCGCGCTTGATTTGCCTTGTCCGCCTCATGATTATACTCCTGTGGCTAATCATCTAGGTCTTTCCTCCCTATCCTTGAGACGTAATGTTGCGGGTTCTAAATTCCTTAAGGGCTTGCTTGATGGGAAAGTTGAATGTCCCGCGCTATTGTCTCTGGTCCCTTTCAGGGTTCCACAGATCAATACCAGGTCAAATGCGCCGTTCCGTATCACGCAAGCCCCTACAAACTACCTTCTGAACGAACCACTTCGCCGATTACTAAGGTATGCCAATAGTGATCCTAATTTTATGTTGTAATTATGTATAATAATATTTTGTTTTTTTCTATTTATATTTTGATTGTTTTTGTTATTGTATATATATACCACGTTATTTCATATGTTATAAATTGATATTTTGTATTTTTGTTTAGTGATTTTATGTAATACGTATTAAATGTAGTTAATGTAAAACCAACATATATGTATTTAAAAAAGGGTTTATCCCGTAAATTAATAATAAATAAATAAATAAATAAATAGATATTATTTAATATCAATACTCACTGCGAACACATAGCAACTAAATCTTTATCAGTGGTATTCTGACTCAATCCGCGAATATACAAATTTGTTTTTGACAACTGTTGAGCTGGAGTTGCTGATTGACATTCTGAAGACGGTGAACTGGTGGTCGGTTGATTAGATGATTGCAAAGAAGTGCCTCCATTGGTGTTAGAGCTGGAACTACTGTTCGTATTTGCTGGCGAAGACGCTGTAGGAATTCTGTTATTGCTGTTGTACTAAAACGGTTTAAACGTTCAATATTAGTTTTTTTAATAATTAATCAAACTCTTTTGGATTATATACTGCCGGCCAAAATTATTAGATCACACAATAACTTTAAGATTTTTTTCAAATAAGATTTGATATCTTGTTGGTTTATTAAATATTATTATAATATTAACAAACATGATTGCTGTAGATTCAAAGAAAAAATAATTCACCTGCAAAAAATTATCGACAGAAATTTTAATTCGAATTTCTTTGGTGATCTAATAATTTTGGCCGCCAGTATATATATATATATATATTATATAATGTACTATATATGGTATGCATTTACCAAACACATTATTATCCGCATTGATATTTTTAGTAGAAAGTTTAAATAAATTAAAATATGACTAATTAAAAAGTACTAGAAAACAGAAAACAACTGTGTTTAAACTAATAATTTAAATTTACTATGTAACAAAAGATGGAACATTTTTTCGACACTGATATTTCAAAAAAGGGAATATCTGTTTATATAATATCACTTAACTATGCAGTGTTGGCATATTCAACCAATACCATTTATTTTTCTTATCGTAAACACGTCCCAAAGGACAATATCGATTTTTTGTATTTCATTTGGCTTTATTTTTATTTTTTATTTTATAAGTTATCGGTTTAGTTATAAGTAAGTATGTATATTCGATGACGGGAAAACATCTGACTCATAAACTCACTTATTTACACAAAAATAATACAACATCATAAATAAATGTGAGCGCATGTAATTTATACAAACTATTGTAAGGCTAATTAGTAATTTAATTATTCATTAGGTTTTTATTATTAAACACCACTGCAGCGATAATTAATAATGATATTTATAACACAACATCAATAAATATTAATTATTGTAAAAAATAATATAAAAACAATTTTTGAAGACTTTACTACTTCATAAGTTAATAAGATTTAACATTTGTTAGCAATAACAACGCAAATAAGATAATAAATATGATTGATAAATTAATTATAAAAATGCAAAGCAGTTTACATGCAATAAGATGATAAAACTAAAAACTGATTGTATAATATTTAACGTGGGAACATTACTTATTTAATTATGTAACATATTAGTTAATTTTTGTACACTTATTGTTGAATAATTGTTTCTGAACTTGAGAATATTCATAAAAAAATTTTGACTTCAAAAAGCTATTTACTAAGAAAATATTTTATATATAAATAAATAGTTGAGGTAGAAATATTAATAACTTTAAATTGTTATTTTAAGGATAGTAATTACAAGTTATATATGTAATAATTAAAAATAATGTTGTTTAGTAGCATTACATTTTTAAACCCATAGTGGTTCTAAGACTGTGTGTAATTATTGAAATTAACAAATTAGATGGTTGAGTAAAATACAGTTAATGTACGGAAATATTGTGTTATTAGTCTACTTTAAAAAAAAAACTTCATAATTATGATAAAAAGAAACTATAAAATTGGTTGGTACTAACATGCATATTATTTAGATTGTTCAAATTATCGGCTTAGTTTCAGAAAGGATAAAGTTCAGTGTAGTTAAAACAATACGTAACCAAAAATATCGCTGTAACTGAATATGTATTATAGTTTAAATAATTAATGGTAGACCGCATCAACAAAATCATATTGGAAATTTGGTATTGTAATACAATGTTATTTTTCTATTGACCGAATTCCTATTTGATAATTAATCTTAAAGATAGTAAATTTAGTTAACCATTAAAGATAAGTGTAATGTAAAACATTAAAATGTAATGTTTGTATAATTGACGATTAAAATTTTAACCACCAATATTTAATATTGGTAGTTATCATCGACTATCATGTTATCTACGTTCTGTTTACAAATATTTATAATACAATATACGAATTATTAAAATAATAAACAATTTATAAGCCAGCTGGCTAACTTTATTTTATTACTAAGCTAATTTAATTGAGACACAATGGAAATTGATACTTGAGAACTAACAAACTTTTGAAATTAATATTTTGTAAAAATCAACTAAATTATATCAAATTTAACTGTTGGTCCGTCCTTAAATGATTGCACATGTAAAACAACAACTGAACAATTGACCTTCATCAGAACATTGGGACACCAGCAGTGTTGGGAATAGATACCCAAGTCATTTAAATTAGATATAGATATATGAATAAAATGTCATCTGGATAAGATAAAGATATTTGAGGATAATTTTTAAAAATGTATACACGTATAAATTCTAAGGGTAATTGTCAGAAGACAAATGGGAACCTATGATTATTTTATTACTGTTAAATGCAGAATTTGTTAAATCTAATTTTGACGGGTCAATATAAGATTACTTTTTGAGTTAATACAATTTATAATTAAAGGCGAGAAGAGTTCACAACGTAAAATAATTCTTATGGTTAAAGTAGAACGTAACTAAACACTACCCAACTTCTCACTTTTTTTTTTATCTTTAAATGTTAGTATATTAAAACATAATGTCACAAAACTGATTATCTGTTAGTAAACATTTTATTCTAATAATAAAATTATAAAAAAGGTAGGATTTATTCAAATCCTACCTTTTGAAAATAATTTTTTTTGCAATTAACTTGATATTTACTATGGTTAAATACAAATAAATAACATTTAATCAGACATTAGAGCAAAACATTATACATTTTTTGATAAAATTGGCTGATTTTCAAGTGTTTTGCACAATAAAGCAATATCTGTATCATTTATTTAATTTAAATCAAATTGATAGTTTCTTTAATACTATATATAGTTGAAAAAAAGAAACGTCTTCCGACGATTTGTCCTATATGATTAATCGGTCTCTTAAATCAAAAATCATGTAATTTTTGGTAAAAATGAAAATTTAATTTTTAATTTGTTTCTAATACGCAATGAGTTGTTTTATAATAATGATTTTAATCGTTGTCAGATATGTTAAAAAGATGCCTCAAATACCGACTGCATTTAACTTTTTTAAACTAGATGATGTCGTTTTAAACTCGTTTGATGTAATGACAATGTTATTATTCAGTTTTTTTCATAATTAAAATTATACACATCTGAGTATATAACCAACACCCCTGACCCAAATATTATATATAAGTTTGCACATATTAAATCACAAAATAATTATGATCATAATAACAGTTATTATGATACTTACTATTGTTATGATAACAGAATTTTATTTTAGGACAAACAATGATTTTTATCCTTGATTAAATAATGTAAGGTAAGTTACGATTATCAACTAACTTGCTGAACAAGAAACATTAATTAAAGTATAAAATATTCAAGGTATATATTTGTGACATTTTATAAAAGTTGATTCATATAAATGATGTCAGTTCTTATTCAAGAACAAAATGGTATGAAGAAATATTTCAGTAAAACAATCCGTTACTTCCGGAGAAATTTTCTTTTAATTAATAATAATAATGTCCAGCGCAGTGTTCTGTAAAAAACATCTATTGCATTTTATTCATATTATAATGGAAACAATTAACTATTAAAAAATTTAATTAGAAGTTGGATAACTTAAGCATTAAAAAATAGGATATTGCATAAATTTTTTACTGTGTACCTCATACTATACAAATGGGTTCAAACCATTGAACCGTTTTAGAATAAAATATTTTCAATTCATAACTATGACCAGCTACTAAACTGAGAACCATTCCATAATTAATTACTTATTATAGAAAAATAAAGCAACACACAAATATTTTTATTATAAAATCTAAAAAACTAGATTTATGAGTTATAAAAAAAATAACAAGAATGAACAATTGGGAATCTTATTTAGATAACATATTTTTTCTGAATACACTGAGAAATTATTGATATCAAACATATTACTGTTATCATAACAAAGATGAAACAAAACAGCTAATAAAATAATTTGTAAGTTAAACCTTATTTTTTTTTGTTACTTAAATTAAGATATTTTATTAGATACAAAACAAGACACCAACTAAGCATTTAAAATTAATTTGTATTCTTTTAATTCGCTTACCACTCGATTTCCCTTAACATAATTTTTCTGGCATTTATTATAAACATTTATAAAGTAATTCACTCTTATCATAATCAACATAATTAATCGAAAAATAAAATTAAACATTTTTTTATTTGTTTCTTTTAGTTTAATATTTCTCTCAATTTGTCAACTTTAATATCTCAAAACATTTCTCGGCCTAAATTCTATCCAACCAAGGTGTATAAATGTTAAAAACTTCTGAAATACTTGCCCAAAAGATGTTATCGAATAGTCATTTTTTTAATTACATAATTTTCTATTTTAGAGCTTATTAAATATGTATGTTGCAATTGCAAGTTAATACCCTTAAAAGGCATAAAGAATGAACATAAATAATATTTTATGACAGATAACTAAGGATAAATATGTAACTAACAAAAGCCGAAAAAAAATTACTGTTTTAAGAATACCTAGTATTAAAAGAATTATTATTTAGAGTAAAGTCGGGTAATTTAAAATGCATTTTTTTAGATATTAAGTTTTTATTATACAAACATACATTCAATATATATGATAGTAACACATATAAGAACCAATACTTTTCAATCTAAAAAACAATCTGTTAAATATTCTAAAAGAAAAATTTAATTTATAATTACCACATTCGATTAAATTTACCCCATTTCATCATATTAATAATTATGTCTTAGCATTCAGAGTAATGTTTATAGGTTAGATTATGTTTTTTTAACATCATTATTATCAAACTTTGATTGTTCATGATTTAAATTATAAAAATTGAACAGAGTAAAGGATTCAAAAATAAAAAATTCTATATTTTATTTATTTTTATAATAAATTTATTTTAATGTATTATTTTAATAATTTTATATTGTTCCAAATTATATTTAAATATCAGTTTATTTATAAATAATAAAAATGATAATTCTGTAATGTATACAGAATATCTAATAGAATTAAGCTTTCAGCATTAATATTGTGGT